TATAATATAATATTAATTAAATGCATTCATATTATTGCCTTGCAGCTCGTTGCAAATTGCATTGCGTGACCCCGCCCCGATTCGAATTCACATTAAAAAAAAAACTTTGATTACTTCCATTAGCCACAAAACCAAAAATCTCCTTGTGGCTAAGCAAGTTGGCTTAAATTCAACAATACTCAAGAGTTTATGTGCAAATTTAATCCACTTGAGACCATGAAAGTTTCTTTAAATCAACAAATTTCTCCGTAGCTCACTTAAAACTTTAATTAAGTTAAAGTTAAGCAAGTTGAAGTTTTCAAGTTGAAATTGCGGTTGAGCTTACTCCAATTCTTATTGATTATATTTGGGAATATATGTATCAATATATGTATGTATGTTTTCTTAAATATTTTTAATGGACCTTAATTAAGTTACATTTACCATTGAAAGTGAGAATTCCTGTCTTTATGGCTTTGTGAGAATTTCTTGATTAACAAGGCGACTGGTAGAGGCAGAGCCGTATCTCCGTTGGACTGCTTGGTCGGCTCTACATTGCTTTGCCTGTCCGCTAGGCCTTCTATCCGGCTCTTGGTTCTGTTCGCCTCTACATCAGTGCTGCCATTTTTTCCAGAGTACAAAAAGCTAGATCTGTCTGGAAAGGCAAGAACTATTGCAAAGTTTATATAAAGTATGTAGACTCTACGTCTCATTGTCTTTTCGTCTCTCCGCCTCTCTGTCTGTTTATCTGAACGTTTTTCTCTCAGTCTGTTCGCTTGGCCAACTCTCTGTTTCCATTTCTTTTTTTGTCCGTCTCTGTCTCTCCTTTTGTTCATCTATCGTTTCGTATAATCACAGTGATATTGTGTACCACAAAAGATAGCATTAAAAAAATTATCTATGCACATTCCTGTATACACTGCACTGAAAATGTTGGACTTTTGCTAGACAGCTCATTTGTTCTCTGTATTCCCATTATCGATAATAATCGATTTTTTTTATTTATTTAATTTAATTTTTTTATTAATCCATAAAATCATAAACAATTTAAAGCTAACWTTGTGCTTGTGGATATTTAGAAGGATTGAGAAATTTCACTTTAGGAATATTAAAAAAAACGTGAACTTTTTGCTTTTTATTGATTTATATTTTGTTTCTCTCAGTGTATATCTGTTATGTATGTGTGTGTTTGCTGTGGTTGGTGGCAACTACTAATTTACGACTGGTTGGCTGGCTTCCTGGGAAGACTCTCCAAAGATTGCAGCAATTGTCGACCCTCTTGTGGTTCGCTCAGCGCAGTTAAATGAAAGCGAACCACCAAAAGCATTAACAAAATAACAAACATGAACTCCCAGTTATTTGTGCGACTATGGAATACCAATTTGTGGGATAGAATATTGAAATACAAATGAATAGAAGAAACTATTCATGCTATGTAGGAAGTTTTGAATCAATAGAAATATGTTTTTCTATTTAGTGTAAAGCTTTAAGGATAAGCATAGGGATAAGAATAATGATGAGGATAAGAATAGGGATAAAGATAAGGATAAGGATAATGATAATGATAACGATAAGGATAGGGATAAGGATAAGGATAAAGAAGAG